GGTCCGCCCGCGCCTGCTCCAGCTCCAGCGCAAGCTGCGTGACCTGCAGCCGCAGCTCCATGCTGGCCGGCCCGGACTGCTCCGCGCCGGGCGCGGGCGCGGCGGCGGCGGCGGCCGCCGCGGCGCGCTGCTGCGCTGCCTCCAGCGCCGCGCCGGCGGCGCGCAGCTGCTGGCTGAGCCCCGCGCTGTGCTGCACCTCCAGGCGCAGCGCCTCCTGCTGCTCCTGCAGCTGCTCGTGCAGCTGCGCCTCGCGCGCCTGCTGCCGCGCCGATGCCCCGCTGCCCGCGTCGCGCTGCCGGCTGGCGGCCAGCTCCGCATCCTCCAGCCGTGCCACCAGCTGCGCCTCGCGCTGCTTCAGCCGCTGCACCTCCATCTCCAGCTCCCGCTGCTTGTTGGCGCGCTGCGCGAAAAACTGAAACACGTCGGGCCGCTCAACGGGCTCCTCGCCCTCCTCCTCGCCCTCTGCCGGCAGCAGGGCGTCGGCGGGTGGCGGCGGCGGCGGCGTGGTGAGCAGGCCCAGCTCCCCCGCCCGCCGCCGCTTCGCCGAGTGTTCCGTGCTCATGGCTGGCCCGTCTCTCTGGTCCTCAACAGCTCCTCAACGATGGGGATCGCTGCACCCGGCCCTCTCCCCCAGCCTTCCAGAGCTGGAGAGCCGCTGGGGACGGCTTCCATTCAAAATGACAGGCCCGCAAGCGAGCCGGCGGCTCTGTTTTCGGCCCATGCAGCCCGCCTGCTGCGCCCCGCCCCAGCGTGCCGCCGCCTAATCCCCGGCGTGCCGCTCGCCCGCTCGCTGTGCCTGCAGGAAGGGCACCCTAGACCACGCGCACGCCGTCATGCAGCTGCGCATAGAGAGCGGCGACGACGCCGTCATGGCCGACTACTTTGATGACGCGCTGCTGATGGCGGCGGGGCGCGAGCCGTTTGCGCTGGTGGAGGCGGCGGTGACGGCGGCGGCGGCCCTCAGCGGCGGCGCGCGCCCGCTGCGCGACAAGCAGCTGCCGCCCAACCTGGACGTGTTTGGGTGGTGCAGCTGGGACAGGTGGGCTTTTTGTTTTTTAGCTTTTTGTTGTAGTTCGACCTCTGCACCAGCATGCGCCTTGCGTGCGCGGCACCAAGCCAGCGGCACCAAGCCCTCGCGCGCCCCGCTGCCCGCCCTCCTGTGCCGTGCTCTCCTCCACCCCCTCCTCC